AGAGAGAGAGAGAGAGAGAGAGAGAGAGAGAGAGAGAGAGAGAGAGCGAGAGAGAGAGATCTTCTCGTGCGGCTACAGAGTGAATGAGCGTTCACACTGGAGGGGAAGGGGTGGGTGTACTAATGTAAACGCGTTTCGTCGTCGTTTGATCATTGGCCTCTCCTGTTAACAATGCCGGGACGGACAGATGTGCCGTGTTTTCGCCCGCCCAGGCCGGGGGTAAGGGCCGGAGGGGGGTTTATCTTTTTTGGCGTTGAGAATATTGGATTTGTCCCTGGACAGCAGAAAGGGGGAATTTAGGGGGAACGGGAGATCGAAGACACGGGCGGGATGTGGGTGTTCATGTTCAAGCAAAGTTTCCCGAACCCTTGGCGTGTCAAAAGACGGCAGTTCTTCATCGGCTTCCAGGCCCACTTCTCTCACTAGACGCAAATACGTCAAGTCCCAACGGTAGTACTATGGCAGGATCATATACATTTGAGGAAAACGTGCACGTGTGTATCCCTCTGTGCCCGTTTCCGAGAGCCAAAAACGCCCATGATATCATAGGACCGAGCCTCTCCGGGACCGTGTGTACCGTCGGGGTTATGTGCAAGTCAAAGCACACGGGGGTCGAGCGGTGAGCACACAACAAGTCATGGCCCGCACGAGTTTCAATGGGCATCGAAACTCCATGCGTTGCCGAATCACGTTCGCCGCCCTCTGAATTCAACGGCCTTATTGTTCCTCACAACGAAAAAACACGCTCTCCAAGAAAACGAGCTCACTGAAACGTCCCAAATACTATAGGTTGTGGGAACATTCGACGGTTTGATTAGGCTTCTGACCTGTAGAGGTGGTAGCCGTCCATTGGCAGGCAGATCGCCGATATCTCCTCGGACTGCACGCGCTGGCACACCTCCGCCTTCGGTGGCATTGGGGAGTCAGAAAGCACCCCCGGGAGGTGGGGAGACGATGTGAAAACAGATAGCCAAGGTCGAGAAAGGAAGGGGCTGCTGGACACGGGAGGAGCGACAGCAGTACCAGTGGCCATAACAAGAGACAACATCCAACAACCACGACAAGAGAGAGAACTATGGCAAAGAGGAGTTATCATACGCTATTGAATTATTTCGTTCAGCCAAAAGCGAGCCCAAAGTACAACCCACATCGAGAAGCAAGAAGAACACTTGCATCTTATGAGCGTAGAGACTGAGGGGCCCTTCCACGAACGCGACGTAGAATAATGTCTGACGGCAAGTGAGGAAAGGGATCATCACAGCTGGCAGTTCACTACACGTCAGGCACATAAAACCACCGCAAGTACCCATGTCTGCTCCGTACGTCCGACGAAAAACGAGCAAGCAGAGTTACTGCAAGATTACAAAGCTACACGTTGTTCTTACTTACCGCTAGAGTTGTCTTCCCCGATCCTGGAGCCCCGGCAACGGCCACCCACAACTGCTGCTGCTTCTGCTGCTGCTTGTGCTTAACTCCTTCCACCGCCGCATGCCCATCCTCTCCTACACGAACCCCAGCCCCTGGCCCCGCGGTGTGTCCGAAAGCGCCTGTCTCCGGCCCGGCCGCCGCCGTGGCCTGCCTCCTTCGCCGCTCTCGGACCTCGAGTCTGATGCGCTGGGCAAGCGCCTCGTACACGTCAACCATTCGACGGTCTGGCCGCTGCTGCTTTCCTTGCTGCTGCTGTTGCTGCTGCTGGTCTGCTGGTGCCGTCGCCACCGCCACCATCGCTGTCGCCGCCGCAGGGGGGGTGCTCGACGGCAGCAACGGCGCGGCGGACGGGAGCGGTGCCTCCGAGCGCAGAGGGAGCGTCCCCGGCGGGAGCTCGGGCGCCACCCGAACACCGCCACCGTAGTCGCTACCACCACCGCCGCCTTCCGCGCCACCGCCATCAACGCTATCGCGCTCACCTACCGCCTCAGCATCTTTTCCACCACCCATGATGGTGGTGCCATCCGTGCGAGCTGTTTTGGACGAGGCATAACCTGACCAGGAGGTCCACGACGGGTGGCCGGCGCTTGCTTCCGGTTCTTGCATGCCGTCCCCGCTAGATCCGGCCGCTTTACTCTTTCCGTCGGCCCTTATTATCTCCAACAGGAGCGGCTGGTGTTCGTCGGGAACATACGTCGCTGCTGGTGGCGCTGGTGCTGCTGATGATGGTGCTGTTGCTACTGTTGCTGTTACTGCTGCTACTTCTGCTGCTGGTGTTGATAGTGCTGCTGGTGCTGCCGGTGATGGTGCTGCTCCTGGTGTTGTTGTTGTTGCTGCTGCTGCTGCTGCTGCTTCTTGTGACGGCGCTGCCGAGACAGCTGCACCGGACGATGACGGTGCTACTACCACCGAAGGCGGCGGCGAGCGGCCGCCAGCACCGCCCCTGCATGTACGCATGTAGCCTTGGTGCATCGCCCAGATCTTGTCGTCGAATCGGTCTACCAACCTCGCCTCCACCCGGCAACCGCCGCTTACTACGCCACCGCCGCCGCAGTCGCCAACGCTTTGGGCAGCGACACCCGACACTTTGGTGCTGTCGGAGACGGTGGCAGATGTAGCAGCGGCGGAAGCTGCTGCTGTCACACGCTGCATGAAGAGGTTGACAGTGCCGCCCCGCTGCGGCTGGACGAGGACCGCTCGCCCGCACGGCCGGAGAAGGCCTCCGATGGTGCTGATCAGATCATCGTGGAAGTCCTGAGGCGGCCACAAAATAAAAAGGAGGGGGGGCTTGTACTCCAAGGTGTTGCATGCCGCAACTGTTAAGACCGTTGACCACGCGTCCTCGAGAGGACGGAGAATTGCTTCCACAGGACCGATCACTGATGGCCAGTCGTTCCTACATACTTTGCCAAGGTGACTCCAAACTGTATGTTTTCCCTACCCTATCTATCCAATCGATATCACGTCCCGCAGGGAGGGGTGTTGACCGATCGTGTATGTCTAGGGAGCTAGCTGCGCGTTAGAATGCCACACTATCGTCGCACGCGCTGTTTTCCCAATTGCATGCTCCTGTTCCTGCAAACCACCAACGCACAAGTTCGGAGATCAAGACAAGCAGCAAGCAATCGCTCCCAACCAAACCTTGCCTCAGCACAAAAAAACGAACGTACCTTGAAGAACAAGCAGTCGGAGGCAATGATGAGGTCAAAACGGCCGCTGCCTCCTACTCCCGAGGAAGACCTTGAAAGCAGCGCGGACCTGTCGCCGTTCCTGTCCAGGCTGTCCCACACCAGTCTCCTCGCCGCCACCTTTCAGAAACACACACACATGCACACCAGGCCATGGCCTTAGGAAGCATTATATGCTTTCAACCGCACTACGACTGACGTCTATATTTCCTCGCTCAGCCGATTAGCGCGGTCGATGCAAACAAAAAAAAACACCCAATATTTCGTCGGCGGATTGGAGACCGCGGCAGGGTTTTGGGCCACGCATTCACGAGGGCGGTGTTTCGTTGTTCCGTCGATATTTCTCCCCGCAGGAAACAACAAGCCATTGTTGTGTGCACAAACAGATCTTCCCCAGGAAAAGAAGTGTGACGAAAGCTTCGCCACCGCTAGAGCAGCAAAAGAGAAAACGCCCTCAGTCGGAAAGAGTGAAGAGTAGAGTCGGGGCTAAATCCCACACAGCCGCCCCTTTTCCAACATGCCTGCCCCAAATCCAGACGGAGGCCTGTAACTTCACCAACCGAGCAACAGCAGAACGTGACATGTGTAGAAGGATTGGTGACTACGCCTAGGAGTGGTATACGACCATGAAGCAGCATCTCATCTTTCGCGTCGCGTGCGTCGTGTATATTCACAAATAATACACACACGAATGTTCTTACGACTACGAATTGCAAGACCATTGGTACCCCCCCCCCCCCCGGGAATATCCCTCCGACGTCCCCCCCCGCCTCCTCACGGTACATTTCTCGCAACCTGATGGTCTGTCTCGTGCCAAGCGTAAAACGAAAAGGACGGCGGCCAGAGAAGCGACATCTCCGAGTGACGACCGCGGCAGTCACCTCGTCGATGCGGGCACCTCCAAGCATTGCTAATTGTAGATAGAACAGATGTTTCTGCCAGGAGAGCCGATTGGTCTGCGCAGGCTTGGAAACGTACAGCAAGGCACTGACTGAGCCTGGTTCGAGAATCGAAAATGGGGCCTGGACCATACTCCAAACATCAACCGAAGGAAGGGCACCATGGTTCGAGAGGGATGGGTGAACAGTGACCAAGAAAAAAAAATATGCCAAGGGGAAAAATACGTCCACGCACACGGGCACGCAACCACACCCGTGCGCCCCCGTTTCCCAACGCACGTACCCTGGTTTCGCCGAAAACGCCTTCCCTAGCGTTGAGCTCCACGCACTCCTTGTGGGTAGTGCAGAATGCCAGGGAGTCAGCGCGTGCACGGGCATTGCGAGACGAAGGAGTAAACAATAACATCAATCGTAGGGGGGCGGGAGGGGGGGG